ATTATAATAATAAGGATAAATACCTAACATTTATATAGTCCCTACTATGTGCCAGGCACCATGCTAAGCACTTTCCAATGATTCTCTTATTGGATCCTTGCAATACCCACAGGAGGTAGGTGCTATTATTATCCCTATTTGATAGATGAGAAATATGAGGCAAACAGAGGTTAAATGATTTGGTCATCAAAGGTCACACAGCTACTAAGTGTCTGGGAATAGATTTAGATTAGATTAGATTTAGATTTTAAGTTAGATGAGAGATGTCAAGTTCATGACAGAGGCATGTAACCCACAATACTCCCAGTGGGACCCAAAACAGATTAAAGTGTAATTGGAAAATGTTTATCAAAGTAAATAAAAATACAATAAAACAGATAATTTTAATTTGTGGTTTTCTAAGTCAATGTGCAGCCCACAGGGATTCATTTCTATTTGAGTTTGACCCCACTGTATTATATAATACACTTATCTAGGTTCAGAATTCATCATCTCAGTAGATCCAAAGAGTGCCCACTGACGAACCAATCCCAACCCAGAGGGCAGTACCTCAGCATCCTTTCTTTGGCCCTGTTCTTTCAACACTTTTATCATTGACATGAATGAAGACATAGGATGTTTTTTGAATCTAAAATGTCTCAATAGGCTATAAGAGTGACCTAAAACAATAATATGAAGTTTAATAGGGATAAATGTTTTGTATGTTGGTTCAAAACATCAACTGCATAGGCTACAGATATGCATTAGGGAAAACAGAGATAGAAAGTACATCATGTGCTAAAGACCTTAGGATTTTATGTGACTGCAAGCATTTATTCATATGAATACATTGTAAAGTCACATAAAAATGAATGTAATCTTGCTCTATCATTGACATAAGCATAGTATCAAGAGTAATGAGCATTGTGGTCCCACAGTTTTTTACTTGATCAGACAACATCTATAGTATTCGGGTTATATCTGGAAGTTGTGTTAAAGAGAAAGACAGTGACAAACTACATAATGTCCAGAGAAGAGAGGCAAAGATGGTGAGCAAAATTTAAAATATGCAATGTCACAAAATCACAGAATTTCTGACTTATAAGGCATTTCAGAGCACATCTAGTGAAATTCATAACTGTTCGTAAATTCCTTTCACAATATCCCCAAAAGATGTCCTTCATTTGAAAACCTTTAAAGAAAGGATTTGAAACCAGAACCATTGACTCCACATTCATTGCTCCTTCCATTATAACGTATAGTCTAGCTGGCTCATTTGAAGATGCCAGATATATTTAGTCTAGAAAAGAGATGCATCATTTAGGTGATAGGAGAACTAGATTACTTCTTTTAACAAATATTTTAGAGATTGTGCTGTGTTGAGGTATTTAACTTCTGATTTAGCCCACAGTATAAAATCAGAACCAATGAGTGAAAATTACAAAGAGATATATTTTGGCTCAAAAGAAGAACAACTTTTTAACCTATTATAGCTGCCCAGAAATGGTATGAGTTATATTAGGGGACTGTGCATGTTCACCAGAAAACTGAGATAAACAGGGTTAAGTGACTTGCCCTGGGACACATAGCTAGTAAGTATCTGAGGCCAAATTTGAACTCAGGTCTTCATGACTCCAGACCTGGCACTCTATCCACTGAATGATCTAGCTGACATATTAGTTACCTGCTTAAGACTTTAAGTCTTCCCAACCAAGTAATTCATTCCTCCACTAAATTCCTAAAACACGTAATTGCGTTTAACTTTCATTTAGCAATTCTTTAAGTACAATTTTATTTAAAAGTCTCTTCTTAAGTCACTGTTTGGATTAAGAATTTACCATCAATCAATTGACAGGCATTTATCAAGCATTCACTAAGGTCCAGGCACTGCACAAAGAACTGGGTATACAAAGAAAAAAAAAACCTGCTCTTAAAGAACTTACGTTCTAGTGGGGGAGACAGCATGTGCACATATAGGCATCCACAAGATATATATTAAGTAAATAAAAATAACTAGATGGGAAATCACCAGTAACTGGTGATACCAGTGATGGAACAAACAATGGAGCAGCTGTCTTTGAATGATAGCAAGCTCCTCAACCCTGGAATCTTTCAAGAATGTTCAGAGGACCATTTGTCAGACATGTTGCAAAGGAGATTCCTGCTCAGGTATGAGTTAGACTAGATGAACACTTAGGTTCATTCCCCTTTTGAAATTCTGTGACTCTGATCTTGCTCTGACCACAGACAGATAAGGCATCTTGGAGGAAACGCACAAGGCATTTGCTTTTCTACTTCCTCACTTAAAAATACTCTGTTCTCAGTTGGTTGTTTGGTTGGTTGTTGTCCTTTATTCTTTGTTTTTGGCTAGGAAATTGGGGTAAGTGACTTGCTCCAGGTCACACAGCTAGTAAGTGTTATGTCTGAGGCCGGATTTGAACTCAGGTCCTCCTGAATCCAGGGCCAGTGTCCTTCATTCTTGAAGTGGACCAAAGTGACATCACTATGTTAGAATCAAGTTACAGTGTATCCAACTGTCTGATCAGACCAATACGACCTCAGAAGGCTCTACCACAGGTCAGACGCAAATAGTCAATAGAACATTTAGGGTGGATTCTCTAAATTTGTGCACCTCGTGTTTCTTTTGAACTACTTCAATTCCACTTTGCTCATAGAGCACAGCACCTTTTTCTTTGCACAATCAAATCTAAAGTCCTTCAGAGAGACCTAGAGAGTGTCCTTGCATTGCTTCTTCTGACTGCAATGTGAGCACTTGATTCGTATGAGTTCTCTATAAAACAGTCTTTTAAGCAAGCATAAGTTTGGCATTCAAACAACATAGCCAGCCCCTTGGAGCTGCACTCTCTGCAGTAGAGTTTGAATGCTTGGCAGGTTAGCCCAAGAAAAGACCTCAGTTTCTGGTACCTTATTCTGCCAGACGATTTTTAGAATCTTTCTAAGACAATTCAAATGGAAGTCATTCAGTTTCCTGGCATGGCACTGGTATACTGTCCATGTTTCATGGGCATACAACAATGAGGTCAGCACAACAGCTCTGCAGACCTTCAGTTTGGTAGTCTAATACCTCTTCTCTCCCATACTTTCCTTTGGAGGCTCCCAGACACTAAGCTAGCTCTGGCAAAGGTTGGATCAACCTTAAAATCTATGCGCATATCCCCAGAAAGTATACTGCCAAGGTAACTGAACTTATCCACAGCAGTCAAAATCTGTTAGTCTTGTTTCACTCATGGCTGCTATTTGGATGTGATACCAGCTGAGTTCTTTCACAACAAGAGCTGTTCATCTTTCAGCTTGTTCTCTAATTGTCTGTATATTCCGTGTACTGATGGTGAGTGGAGTCATCTTTGAAAAGGTTTTTGTATATTTTTTGTTTTGACCACAGGGTAAGATCCCCACTTTCCTTGGTAAGTAGGCCAAGGTTGGGCAAGCAAACACTTTTAGGGCACCTTTTCTAGCCCCTTCTTTACACCAGGAAGTGAACAGCATGGTCCTTAAAAGGCTGCTCAGACACCCCAGGGGCTACCAAATCCCACTGCTGCTTTCAGTGGGAAGGTGAACCTATGGCCTAAGCCACCGTGTGCAGGGTTGTAACAATATCTCCCAGTACATCCACACCTGCTGCTTCATCACTTGCCTGTTGCCACAAGACTTTCAGAAAGGTAAAAACGGTAAGGTGATATGGGTGATGTCTTTTGATTCATGCACAAATTGGATTTAAGTGAGGCAGAGTTGCACAACGTCATTGGCCTCATTCTCTCTTCCAGAGTCATCACAGTCCAGTGGCAGGACAGAGTCAAGATGACTGATGATGATTCAAGATGTAGTGTAGGGTGTGTTCAGGCAAGACTAGTACCTCTGATGTGAGGATTGTCAAGCCCTTTTCAGGTCTGCTTTCCACATTAGTGTCTACCTAGAACTCAACTCTCACCTGTGACTCCAAGAATCTGTAGCATGTACAGCAGCCACACCCATGGTAAACCATTTTGGCAGACAGGCTACACTAGGTTGAGGGTAACCAAGGGCTCTCAAACCCATTGGTAAACTACAGGGGTGTCTACCACAAGCATGTGAAGACTTCCCCTAATGGAATAGGCAGATGAGAACAATTTCTTCCAACACCACGAAGGCAGCTGAAACAGGTGCTGTGGAGCACTTAGAGCTTTGTTAGACATCAAAGGTGCTAAGGTCGGTCATCCACTCTGCTTTCATATAACAATGAAGGTTAGCTTGGTAATACCTTTGGCAGGAAACTTTTGTCTCCCTGCTTATGCACTTGAACAAAGGTAAGTCTACTGAGGAAAAAGAGATTTCTGTACTCTTGAAAGCTATTGGCCATAGCTATTCCATCCTTCTCCTACTGTCCAGATGTACTATATTCCCAAATCATGGAGGAATTTGATTGCTAGGAAAACAAGTTAGGCTTTATCCTCTGGGAGAGAGGAACAGATTGAACATTTTGAGAAAGGATAACTTGGAAATTAGGGCCACAGAGTTAATGAAAAACATGGCAACTGTGAAGATGAGTAGCTGGAATTTGTAGAACCACAGAAGCTTAGGGCTTACAGAAGTCAGCTAATTCAATCTCTTGCCCAACATAGGAATCCCTGCTAGAGGATTTCTGACAAGTGTCCATCCAGTAGACTTGAACACTTGCTGTGACAAGAGCCCCCTGATTATCAAGTCAGGCTATTCCATTTTTGGTCAACTCCTACACAGTGACGTGAACTTTAAAAAAAGAACAGGTCAATGGAAAGAGACTTGGATTAGGATGACCAATAAGCAAGATGTCTAGGTTCTAATCCCATCTCAGCCACCAGGAGCTACATCAGATCACTTCTCCAGATACCCATTTCCTCACTTATAAAAGTTAAAAGTCAGATTAGATGATCTGTCAGGTTTCTTACAGCTCTGAAACTCTAGGAACTATGTCCCACGAGCAAGGTATATTTACTGAAATTGTTTTTCAAACAAATGATTGGGATTTTTTTGTTTTCTTTCAGATGACACAAGTTTATGATGAAAAGGGAAACCAAACTATTATCTCCGAGTTCCTTCTCCTGGGCCTGCCTATCCAATCAGAGAGGAAGGCTCCTTTCTATGCCCTCTTCCTTGCCATGTACCTCACTACAATCCTTGGAAACATGCTCATCATCCTCTTGATACATGTGGATTCCCGCCTACACACACCCATGTATCTCTTCCTCAGCAACCTGTCCTTCTCTGACATGTGCTTCTCCTCTGTGAGCATCCCCAAACTGCTGGTAAACATGCAGAGCAAAAACCAGCTATCCCCTATGCTGGCTGCCTTTCCCAGATGTACTTCTTCCTTTTCTTTGGAGACCTAGAGAGCTTCCTGCTGGTGGCCATGGCCTATGACCGCTATGTGGCCATCTGCCACCCACTGCACTACACTGTCATCATGAGCCCCAAGCTGTGCAGCTCTCTCGTGGTGCTTTCCTGGGTCCTCACTGCCTTCCATGCCTTGCTGCACACCCTGCTCATGTCCCGATTATCCTTCTGTGCCAACAACGTTATCCCCCATTTCTTCTGTGACATGTCTGCCCTGCTGAAATTGGCCTGTTCAGACACCCGGCCAAATGAGTTGGTAATCTTTGTCACGGGGGGACTGATTTTGGTTGTGCCATTCCTGCTAATTATCACATCTTATGCCCATATTATCTCTTCTATCCTCAGGGTGCCCTCTGTAAGGGGCATTCGCAAAGCCTTCTCTACCTGTGGCTCTCACTCACAGTGGTCTCTCTCTTCTATGGGACAGTCATTGGCCTCTACTTGTGCCCTTCAGCAGACAACTCCACAATAAAGGAGACAGTCATGTCAATGATGTACACTGTGGTAACACCAATGCTGAACCCCTTTATTTATAGTCTGAGGAATCAAGACATGAAAGGGGCCTTCAAAAAACTTCTGGAAGGAAGAAAACTTCCCTTCTCCCTAGGACTGTGATACTGAGGCTTCTAACACAATTCTTTACAATAACAATGAGAATGAATGGTATAATAATCATGTAGAGAGTAGAAAAATATCCAATATGGTCTCCTTGCTTTCATTTCCTCTCATTCATTTCCATATATCCTGCGCTACTAGAATACTCTTCCTTAAATTTCCCTTTCATTACACCCCTTTTACTGAAATACTGTTCAATCTTCTAAGACTGACCTCTCCTGTTTTCTCTCCCCCTGCTCCTCTACATATACTCTGTACTATAACTAGACTAGTCTCATCACAGTCCCTATTGCTATCTCTACTATCACCCACTTTCCCAGATGGAGTGCTCTTCCCTCCTTTTCTCAACATTCTCTGTCCTTTAAAGGCCAGTTCAAATCCTCCTTCATTAATATATTTTAAATCATTTTTAAAACATGTTAAATATATACTAAGTATTAGATCCTGCATTAGGCATAACTCCCTTATGTCTTCTCAACTATCCCTGACTGAAGTTATTTATCCCTTCTCCAAATTCGTAAATCGCTAAATTGTCTACTTTAACAATTATTTATGTACAAACTTAATGATGCAAATATAATTCTACTTGGATATGAGAATATTATAATGTTTTTGGTTTTGCTTTTGTTTTTTGGTTATGGAAGGGAATTCTTAACTAAAACAGTTTAATTTAAACATTATTATTCAACATACCATGCCCAAGACAACTCTCTAAAAGCCTAAGTTTCAACTTTTCTTCATTGGTTGAGGGAATTTCCACATCATGAATTCCACCATATCATGGAATCATAGAACTAAATTCACTTTTCACTAAAATACTTCAGAAGCAGCTTATAAATATCATTAAAGAAACATGCGATCAGACAAGAAAATGTAATCATGTAGCAAAAGAGAAGAAATGAATAGTGTATGTGTGTGCGTACATGCATGCACACTCCATTGGTACATCTATAATGTTCAGAAATCTAAAGAAAGGCTCTCAAAATATTGGGTGAGCTTCCTTGCAAGGGAATTACAGAAAGACATAGACAGGGATTGTACTGGATAAAAAAGTATGTTCAGGCAGGTTGGATGGATGTTGGTGGTGCCCAGACTACGTTATGTGATGGTTGAAGGAATAGAGGATATTAAAGTTGGAGAAGACTTAAAGAAGAAGTGGTGAGATAATATCTACCTTCAAATATTTAAAGGATTTCCACAGAAGAAAGGGATCAGATTTCTTCTGTTTGGCTCCAGCTTACAGAATTAGGGCCACAGAATGGAAGAAAGATTTAGACTCTATGTAAGAAGTTTTCAGCAATAAGAAGCACCCAAAAATGGAAAGGATTGCCTGGAAGTAAATTAATTCTTTAGCACTCTAGGTGTCTAAGAGGCAAACTAATCACCTGTTATTTCCCAAGCTAGAGTAGAAGAACAAAGAATACCATTGTTCTATAAGAAATAATGAGCAGGTAGATTTCAGAAAAACTTGGAAAGACTTATGTGAACTGATGCTGAGTAAAGTGAGCAGAAATAGAACATTGTACACAACAACAGCAACATTGTGCGATGACTAATTTTGATAAACTCACCTCTTCTTAGCAAAGGATCTAAGACAACTCCAAGACTCATGACAGAAAATGCTATCCACATCCAGAAAAAGAACTATGAAGTCTGAATGTACCTCGAAACATACTATTTTCACTTGTTTTTGGTTTTTTCTTTTTTCTTTTTTGTGGTTTTTTATTCTTATTCTTCTTTCACAAGATGACTAATGTGGAAATATGTTTAACATGATTGTACTTTTATAACCTATATCAGATTGCTTGCTATCTTGGGGACAAGGGAGGAAACTGAGGGAGGGAGAAAAATTTGGAACTCAAAATTTTACAAAAACGAATGTTGAAAACTATCTTTACATATAATTGGGAAAAATAAAATACTATTAAGGCAAAATGCCATAACATTTGGTGCATATGCATTTAATAGTGATGTTCCTGTAGTGTCTATGGTATCTTTTAGTAAGATGTAGTTTCCATGTATCTTTTGATTAGATCTATTTTTGCTTTTGTTTTATCTGAGATCATGATTGCTACCCCAGATTTTTTTTTTACTTCAGCTGAAGCATAATATATTCTACTACAGCCTTTTATCTTTACTTTGTTACTCTATGTGTGTCTCTCTGCTTCAGATGTATTTCTTCTAAGCAATATATTGTAGGAATCTGGTTCTTAATCCACTCTGGTATCTGCTTCCATTTTATGGAAGAGTTTCTACTGAACATTACATATACATATATATATATATATATATATATATATATACATATATATACACACATGCATACAAACATATATACATATATACACATACATGCACATGTATGTGTAAATATATTATGTGTATATATGTATATGTGTGTATATATATGTATTGTGTGTATAAGTATATATACTATTAACATTCTAAATGGACCAAAGGGTTGGTGGGAGAAAGTCCACAGTGTGACATTGCACCACTTCTTATTCTTATGTAAGGAGGTATTTATCTGGGGTCTCTTGATCAGCTGAGTCCCTCTAACCCACTTAAAGAAACTTTAAGATATAATGGGCAAGTAACAGGGACAGTAAAGTGTCAAGGTTTTGTCCTTTCAGACTTTGAGTTGGTTGCATGCATGGCTTGTAAAGCTTATGAAAGTTGATTCTCTGAATAACCTATTCACAGACAATGATTGTCAAAGATACAATACTTGGACTAGACCATTTATATCTTGTGAAGGGTTAACCTTTTTTAGGCTTCAATTAACCATTATAAAGGAATTGTAAGAAGTATAAATACTTCCATTTAAGAGAGGTAAAGAAATTCCATAATAAACTTGATGGAATTATAGGGCAATTAGACATTAACTGGATGAAAATGGCCTCAAAAAGAATGAGAAGGCTCTAAAAAGAAGGTCATCTCTGGCAATGGAGCTGTGAAGGAAGAACTCAAGTCTTAACAGTGAACTGCCCTTGCCTTTTCCCTACTGCCTTTTCCAGTGTAGGAGAGGAGGAAAAAAATTATTTCTACGGGGCAGCTAGGTGGCACAGTGGATAGAGCACAGGCCCTGAAGTCAGGAAGACCTGAGTTCAAATCCGGCCTCTGACCAAATACTTTACACTTACTAGCTGTGTGACCCTGGGCAAGTCACTTAACCCCAATTGCCTAAAAAAAAAATTTCTCTCTCCCCTCCCTCCATTGTCAGTGGCTGCTATGTTGCAGTGGAATAATCACCCAGGAGGGAGTGCCCAAAGAGCCAGTCCATATTGTCCATTGGAGTGACCCAACAGAAACTGTACCCAGGAGGAGAAGCATGATGACACCACAACAAAAAATAACCCTGCAATGTTTAAGTTGAGTGAGTTCCTTGACCACATGTGTTCCTTATGTCTGAGTTCTGACTAGTAAAGTGTTTTTCAATACTTTCATTGCTACCATGCTGGGACCATTTCCCCAACTCCTATTCACATTGTTTGGCCAGATCTCTGGAAGATGGTAGCTACTACTCTTCTTAGGGTTTTAAGGGTAACCCTGAGGGTCAAGCTCCTAGTACTATTGCCACATGCTCCCCATTAGCATGCTTCCTATTCTAATCATCCAGTAGACATCAATTAGCTTTTTAGCAAAGGGCATTTACTAAGGTGGAATAGTAAGTACAGTTGATATAAAAATCTCTACTTATTTACAAAAAGTCTGAGGCACACCCTTCTACAAGTACACAAAGATGCATAGGAAACAGGCTCTAATTGTAAAGAACATGCAAGACTAAAGGGTAAATTCACAACTGTTGGTTCCTCGAAGTCCTTTCTTCAATCAATAGCCAGTACTGCTTGCTGATACAGTGAGACATGCTCATTGAAGCTACTTCCTATCTTTCTGTCTCTGTCTGTGTTTGTGTCTCTGCTTGTCCTCAGTGCACTTTTCCCTATTCCTGGATTAATATGTTGTCTGCTGTTGCTCTGCTTTCTCTAATAACATGATCAATGGAGTGGAGCCCTCTGAGTTCACTCTTCCACCCCAATGCTCTTTTTCTGCCACAGGCACAGAAGTCCAAAAACAGATTAAATTTCTCTCATTATTTAAAATCTCCTGGGGTCTGGTTAGTTTGTTTGGCTCTCGATCACATCATTCTTTTCCTAACCAAACTTAAGAAGAGTTCACACCTGATGAAGGGATAACAGGATATAGACATCTTATTTACACATTTTAAAAACCTAGTCATAATAATTAACTATTTGATTGAATGAGATTAGATAGAGATGTCAAACCCCCTTCCTTATATATTTTGAAGCCAAACTGTGGAGGAAAGGGAGAATTCAAGCCAAATTTTCCCAACATTGCCCTCCAAACAACTTTAAAATAATGTGTTAAATTATGGAGCACCAAAACCAATAAAAGTTCAGGGTGAAACATTTTTCAAGGCCAAGATAACTTAGGAGGTCAGGAAGAAAGGTTTGTGACACTGGGTGGCAGAGAACTGAGCATAGTGGCACCACCAGCTTTAAGCCTTAAAGGCAGCTGTGATAGCAGCTACAGCAGCAGTAGTTTCAGGAGCTCTCATTGTCCAGAGATGGTAAGGTTACTGGACAACTCATCAGAAAGAGATTACATGGAACCCCTATGCTGGCACTGGAAACAGGACAAGACACCACTTGGCAACTCCATTGCCCATTACCCAGATCCAGGTCACAGTTTCAGGGTGAAGAGTGACTTACTGTCACTAGGGATCAGGGGCCTTGGTCACAGTTCCAGGACAGAGAAAAAATAAAGACCTAGCTCTAGATCAAAATTCCAGAACAAAGAAGGCACTAGAATTTGCAGTTGCAGTGGATTAAAGACCCTACCTGGGTCAGGACCAGAGCACAAACCAGGAAAGAAGTGACCACACCTCTCCCTGAATCATACCACTTTGGAAGAAGAGAAAACTTACAGACTCCCAGAACCAGCTGTGAAAACGCAGGGTAAAAACTCCTGAAGCATGG